TCTTATTACTTCTTATTTGTTTGCTTGTTGAGTTACCTTCCTGCACCTACTTCTTATATTCTATCCTATGATAAGTACATATTTAAAAAAAAAAAAAAAAAATTGGTTATTGTACAAATTTCTTTTTTTATTTTTTTTTCCATAATATTGGTTTCTTAAAGTATCTACTTTATTCAAAGTTGTTTATGAATTATTTCACCTTTTGTAGGATTTAGACTAGCATGGAGAGGCATGCACGGAGAGTGCTGTGGTCTTGCACGAAGAGTACTAAGTGCACAAAGAGCACTCTCCGTGTTGGATGGTTGCACTCTTCGTCTCCGTGTTGAGAACGGTGTAGCTCGAATTTTTTTTTTCTTTTTCTCCTTTTTCTAAACTAAGAACTCCAATTTTCGATTTTTGGAGAAATTTTGAGATTGTCCGTTTTTAGTGAAATTTTAGTTAAATTTGATTAAAATCGTTCCAAATAACAAAATTTAGAGCTTTGCTGCTGATATAGGGTAAATTTTGGGCAAATTCCTTCATTTAGACCTTCGTTTATGCGTTGTTTCCTTTTTTAGTAAATTTTGTTTCGGTTATATCTCGATCAATTTAAGTCGAATTTGAATTCTATTTGTTGGAAGGTAATCCTTAAGAATAAAGCTCTAAAATTTAGTCATTATCTTGATTTTTCCATTTTTGGAAAAAAAATTCTTCTCAAATATTAAGTTAATCAGTGAATATAACATACACTTATATTTAATATTTACCAACAAACATGCAACGCACATTTTCCTCACTAGTTATCCAAAAAGTTTGATTCTATTTGTGTTTTTCATTTCCTTTAACCACTTACTCAAGGGTTCTTGAATGAATGTGGCAGCTGGGATTTACGGGTGTTACTTGGCTTCCTCTCGTATTTGAAAATGACTCAATTGTCTTTATTCCATTGTGTATTGGAGGAAAACTTTAACTTATTTAGAATTTAATAAATAGTATCTGTATCCCTATCAAATTCACGAATTGCTATAAAACTTGAGATGGAAAAAAGGATCTCAATGTACCTGGATTGTGATTTTGTATATCAACAACATTTGATAAATGACCAAGAGATTTTCGAAATGAATCAACACGAAAACAAGAAATAAAAATATATTAGATTAAGAAACCCAAAAAAAAAAAAAAATCATTATTTTGGAGATTGAATGAACATACCTAGGTTACAAAGAACTAAAAAAAGAAAAGGTGGGTAAAAAAAAAAGAATAGAAAAACACATCTTATAAAAGATAAAACGTTGAAAAAATGAGGGAACCAAAAATTTCCCCTCCAAATACAAGAGCCAAAATTGATAATGAAATATTGTAGACAATTTAATTTAGTTATTCTTAGGAAAAAGGGAGAAAAAAAAGATTTATTTCTCAACTTAAAGTCAGCACTTCTTTTTGTATTTCTCAAAAATGGTCCATAAAGTGGTGGGTTTGATGAATGTTCTTGTCCCATTATAAAACTGCTGTTTTATCTTTTACAAAACATGATAGCAAAACAAATTGTTGCTTTTTTGGATATTTGGAAAATAAAATGCTCTCTACGAGGATTAACGTGACATTATTTCTCCCTCTATAAAAATTAATCAGACCAAATAGTAGATCTGAATCTATTTATCACAACTATTTATTTCACTAAATATTAATTAGTTTTTATACATATCATAAATAATATTTATCTTCCTATAAAATTTGCTAAAATTAATATTTTATTTATATTTTCATGATGCACTTATTATTGTATATTGTACATACTAAGTTCTGTTTGAGGAGAATTAATATTAAGCTCCCGTTTGGCCCCCATGTTTTCTAAATTTTAATGCTTGAAATAGTGTTTTCTTTTTATAAGAATCTGTGGTTGAAAAAAGAATGAAAAGTTTTTGATTTACGTGTAATATTATTTTATGGAAGATTTTGTGGTTAAAAATAAAATAAAGAAAAAAAATGAAAGAGAATGGGGGTCAAACATGGGCTAAAATTAAGATCAACAATTAATTTTTAATCATATATTTCAACTTTTATCGAAATTTATTAAATATCTGATTTTTATTTACACCAAACAAGGACTGTGTATAATTTGTATAATATTTATATCATGTTACACAAACAATGATGCATAAACAATGTTTTATTAATATTTAAAAAAAATTCCCATAATAACATTTTCATGAACAAAACATACCACCATCCAATAACAAATATAATTACTTCAACTAATAAATCAGATTACTATCCCCAGCCACCAGTGCATCACTATCTTTGTAGGGCGCGACCACCAATAACATCAAATACTCGAAAGTCATGGTAAATGAAACAACGAAATTGACTTATCAACCGAGGTGTCCTAATGCAACTTATTTAATTATTATTTAAAGATTTTATATATTACAAATGCACAATTTTTCTTTTTCTTGTATATTAAATTAGATTACAATCCGAACATCAAGCATTTGATAGAAAAATATGTGTGCACCAAAAGATTTATACAATTTCCACAACAAGCAAACATCACTAATTGCTCTAAACATGAGATGGGAAAAAAGGGATGTGAATGTACCTAGATCGTGAATTAGTATATCAATAATCTTTGACAAAAGACCAAGAGAATTAAAATAAATAAATAAAATAAAACTGAAATTTTCCCTCCAAATACAAGAGCCAAAATTGAAAATAAAATTCTTGTGGACAATTAAATTTAACTGTCAAAATCTCCACAATAAGCTCATATCATAATTTAGAATTAATATGAGCTTATTGTTTGAGGAGAATTAATATTAAGTTATTTTTAGGAAAAAAAGGAAAATTTATATAAAAAGATTCTTATACAATTTCAAATATATTTAAAAAGATTCTTATAAAATTTCTACATAAAATTTTTCTCCCCCCCCCCCCCCCCAAAAAAAAAAATAAATAAGAATTAGAAGATTAGACTTCCAATCAACACACCTTTCAATATTTTAAATTATTAGTAGTTCAATTAGTCACTCTTTTGAAGATAAATAATTTTGTAACAAAAATATAAATATATTAAATATTTGAATATTAATAAAAAAAAATGAGAATAAGATAAAAGATAAGGAGATAAGATTTAGACTTCAAGTAATTAGTTACATATTCACTATAAAATTAATTATTATATTTGTTTAAAATACATGACCAGGTCAACGAATTAACTATAAGGATTTAATTCTTAGACATGACATAATTGAAATTAATTTGGTTGATTTAACAATTGGTACCAATTTTTTTAGTGAGGTTCTAATCTTTATTTTAACGTAACTGTCGGTTAGGGCGCTATTATAAATTTGAAATAATTACGAGGCTATATCATATTAATGGCCTACTAAACTTAATCGTGGATGGTTAGGATTTATTGTTGTTAATATCATTTGATAGAATTTATGTAGTGATTATTGCATCTTTAATTGTTAGGACTTTCTTTATTTCTAAATTGTAAATATTTAATAGAGATATTATTTGATATTCTTAAGTATGCAATAACTTATACAATAACATTAACTTGTTAGCAGAAAAAAAATAATAATAACAAAAATAACAAAAAAAAAAATTGTTCCTGGATTTATACTTAATTTACTAGAATTAAAGGACAAATACTTATGTGAGGTTGTGTTTTTATTACTTGTCTTTTTTTTATTTATCTGCATGAAATATATACTTAAAATCATTACATGAAGATATGGAGTAAGTCACTATCTCTTATTCTCAGAGCATAAAAGACACGAAAAAACTAGCAAAAACATATAGGTTTATGGTAGTTTATATGCTCATTATGAGAACTACGTTTAAATCGTTGTTATTTGTATAGTTCATACTCAATGGATTTATTTTTATAATTCAAATTTTTTATTAATTATTGTTATTCATACGTTTAAATTCAATAGTACACTTAAGTTTGGTAATAAAAAGTAAGCAAATTTTTATTACTTCAACTGAAAGATTACAAAATTTTGGGGAAACTTGTTACTTAATAAATTTTGGTCATTTGCAAAACACCTAATGAGAAAACTAATCGTCATATTAGTCTTCTCCGGATCTGTCAATTTAGATTATATCATGAGTGAGCTTCTCGATACCAAAACATTGTCTATAGATAAATGACATGCATTATGGCTGGACAATGAATCTAACTGTGACAATGAATCTAACTGTCAAAATCTCCACAATAAGCTCATATCATAATTTAGAATTTAGCGCATTTCATTCTCTTAATTTCTTTTATTGTTGCAAGTGAATTTCAATTATATCAATATTCTCTGACATAATGCAAGCCTAATAGAAAGATATTGATATAGTGAATTTATAAGAAACAAAAACCAACACTAGGTTGACAATTGTTGATTCTCTCAAATATCAATTTGAGTTGAAATTTGTAACGACCCAAAAATTTAAGATTTGAATCATTACCAAAATTTATATAAAAATTTTAAACAACATGGCATGCAATAAAATACACACACACACAAAGATAATTAGTGAAAATATGAAATACTAAAATCCCATCCAGAGCATCATTGAATAGTAAGGCATATCATCGGTCCCCATGATTAATTCAATTCTGCACCGAATCACGTCACCAGAAATCTCAAGATTCTAAGGCAATATTTTTTTTCCCTCTTCCTTCAACTTGTGGGAAACGGCTCCTAAAGTCAAAATACAAGAAATTTAACATCATTATGGTAGGTGACAATAATTAGACATGCATGCAAATTGTAAATCAATTTCCAAAGTTACTCTATGTTCCAATCTCCAATTAACCTAATTATTTATGCCAAAACTTGAATAGCAAGGAAAACACAAAATACCCTAACTAAGGTAAAACTCCCAGTAATCATTTGAAATTACATGTGCGAACAAATTAGTCCCAGATTTCAAATTAAATGAACAAGTTCAATAAATTAATAAACTAAGGTTACTGCTAAAATTCAAAATTTAAGGCACATTACACTGAATTATTTTATTTAGTCCCATAAATCTTGGCCCAACAACTGCACCTCATCGCCTATCGACCAATGACCCAATCTAACCTGTGAGGTATAGGGGAAATGGTGAGTACATGAGAATATTCAGTAGGATATAAAAATTCATGATGCAATCCCAAGTAAAAAATTTTAAATATGTATCAGAATATCATACCGTCTCATATCTTTAGAAACTGGTAGGAGCTCACATCATATCATATCATTTGTACCGGAATGGTTATAACATTCATATCTTATCATATCATATCATTTACTTTTATGAGTATAGTAATTCATCAATATGAAAACAATAATTAAATGAGACAGAATAAACTGCACCTCATTATCTTACCTTGTTAACTTACTTTAATTTTTGGAAGACAAAATAAAATTCACGTTCCAACAATTCCTTTTTTTCCTCTGCTTATGCGCCGTTCATGTAATTATTTTTATGTATTTTCTATCATGTGATGTAATTATATACATAGGCAATTATACAAGAGTTTGTACATTGTAGGGAAACGTGTGGGAGTGAAAAAGGAGTTATGGATAAAATATTGGAAACCAAAATTTGACCAAATCTTGCCAACAACTAAACCACTCAAAAATCAACACGTGGTGTCACACCTAGTTGTGTTGAACCATTCACGTGACTTCCTTTATCTCTCGCTTCTCTTTTCTTTATTTTTTAAAATCTTTATTTAATAAAAAAAATTCAATCACTAACCTACCCAAGAATCTTGCTCTATACATGTCACTTGAGAAAAAGTTTTAAATTCATTGAATAATCGACTAAAATATAATCTAAAGCTATATCTTTCGACCTCGATAATTTGGGCTCCACTAATCCAAATTAACTTTTTCTCGAGCCTAACATGCATGATTAATTACGATTTATCCAACGAGCCAAATATTCGTATACTAATTATTGCTTTGCCAATATCTATATTTTAACTCAAATAAAATTGAAATTTACTATGCACTTTAGTCCCTAACCTTTCAAAACATTAAAATATAGCATACAACAATTAAATTCTATTCTACCAAAATTTTCGAGACATTACAATCTCCTCTCCTTCAAATATTTTCGACCTCAAAAATTCACTTTGGCTAATTGAAGAGCTCTAGATACCTGGTTCTAAGCTCCTCTTCTTTCTCTCAACTTGACTCGTCAAGTCCATGATTTCGCCATTGGACATTCACTGGGGGAACTTCCCTGTTTCTTAGTTGATGTACTTTTCTATCCAAAATCATGGTCGGAATTTCTTATGATAACATGTCTTTTTGTATGTCCAATGTCTGGTAACTTACCACACGATTGGGATCATGAACATATTTTCCGAGCATCGAAACATGAAATGCATGATGCACTACTGTGAGTTTAGGTGATAAGGCAAGTCGATATGTCACAGCATCAATCCTTTCAAGAATCTCAAAAGATCCAATAAATCGCGATGTCAGCTTTCCCTTCTTACCAAATCTCAATGAACCTTTCATGGGTGTTACTTTAAGAAAAACTTTGTCTTCTACACTAAATTCGAAATCCTTTCTTCTAACATCGGCATAACTTTTCTGTTGGTCCAGTGCTTTTTTTATTTTGGCCCTAATCTTGTCAATCGCCTTAATTGTTCGTTCATTAATTTCAGGATCCAAAATTCTATTCTTTCTAACTTCATCCCAATGGATAGGAGATCTGTACTTTCTATCATAAAGAACTTTGTATAGGGCCATGCCTATGGTAGCCTGGAAACTATTGTCATAAGCATACTCCATTAATGTCAGATGTGTCTCCCAACTACCACCAAGATCCAAAATACATGTCCTTAACATATCTTTAAGAGTTTGAATGGTTATTTCTGATTGTCCATCCGTCTGTGGATGGTATGCAGTACTAAATTTCATTTTGTCGCCAGGGCTACCTGCAAACTATTCCAAAATTTCGATGTGAACCTCGGGTCTCTATTTAAGTCAATGGTGAAAGGAACTCCATGCAATCTTACTATCTCCCTGATGTATAAATGTACGAGCTGTTTTATACTGAAATTTGCTTTGATTGGCAAAAATGGGCTGTCTTCGTTAAACGATCAACCACTATCCAAATAGCATTGAGACCTCTTGCTGATCTCGGAAGACCTACTACGAAGTCCATCGCTATATGTTGTCACTTCCATTCTGGAATATCCAATGATTTTAGCAGTTTTGATGACCTTTGATGTTCTGCTTTAACTTGCTGACAAATCATACATTTCTCCACGAATAGACCAATTCTTCTTTTCATATTTTTTCACCAAAATATATCTCGAAGATCTCGATACATTTTTATACCACCTGGATATGCAGCATATGGGATGAAGTGAGCTTCTTCCAATAACTCATTTCTTATACTTTCATCCTTTGGTACATACAACCTTCCTCTAACAGTTAGCGCATTATTTGCAAATACTTCAAATCCTATACATTTATTTGTACCAACCTCAGCCATTATCTTCCATAGAAATGGATCCTTCTCCTATGTTTTTTTGATTTGATCCCAAAGAGTAGGTCGAATCATGAACGCTCTTTTTCTTGCTATAGTCTAAGTTGACGGCGTGATGACTGCTAATCTCTATTTCTCAAAGTCCTTTATCAAGTATTCTTGCACCATGGGTAAAACTGCTAACTGTGATCATGTCTTCCTGCTTTAGACATCTGGGACTACATTAACCTTATTTGGATGGTAATGAATTGTGCAGTTATAATCTTTTACTAACTCCAACCATCTCCTCTACCTCATATTCAGTTCCTTCTGTGTGAAGAAGTATTTGAGACTCTTGTGGTCTGTATAAATTTCGTACTTCCCACCATAGAGATAATGACGCCATATCTTGAAAGCATGAACTACTAATGCAAGCTCCAAGTCCTGAGTTTGATAGTTTTGTTCATACTGCTTCAACTGTCCTAAGGCATAAACAACTACTTTTCCATGCTGCATTAGTACATAGCCCAAATCCTGCTTGGAGGCATCACTGTAAATTACAAATCCCTCTAAACCTTCAAGCATCGTCAATGCAGGAGCCGAAACTAGTCTCTGCTTAAGTTCTTGAAAATATTTTCCACATTTTTTCGTTCACTAACACTTCACACCCTTTCTTGTCAATTGATTCATTGGTCCTACTATTTTTGAGAAACCCTCAATAAATCATCTACAATAGCCAGCCAATCCCAAGAAAACTGCGAACTTCAACCACATTGGTTAGTCTAGGCCAATTTATTACTGCTTTCACTTTAGCAGGGTCTACTTCGATTCCTAAGGCAGTAAATGCATGACCAAAAAAACCTACGCAATCAAGCCAAAATTCGTACTTCTTGAATTTGGCATATAATTTTTCATTCCTCAAAGTTTCGAGTACTAATCAGAGTTTTCCTCATGCGGCTTCTTATCCTTTGAGTACACAAGTATGTCGTCAATAAATACTATGATGAACTGATCTAAATACTGATAAAACACTCTATTCATGAGATCCATAAATATGGCTGGAGCATTGATCAAACCAAAAGGCATGACAGTGAATTCATAGTGTCCATAACGAGTTTTGAAAATAGTTTTCAGTATATCACTTACCCTAATTTTCAGTTGATGATACCCTGATCTCAAGTCAATCTTTGAAAACACTGTTGCACCCCTTAATTGGTCGAATAAATCTTTGATTCCCATTAGTCAATGCACATCCTCATACTCCCATCCTTCTTCCTCACAAAAAGTAAAGAAATGCTTCAAGGAGATATATTTAGTTGAATGAAACCTTTCTTCAGTAACTCATCTAATTGCAACTTCAATTCTTGAAGTTCTTTCTATGCCATTTGGTACGGAGCCTTGTATACTTGTGCTCCTCTAGGAACCAAATCAATTGTAAATTCTACTTGCCTATCTTGTGGAATGCCTGGTAAATCTTCTGGGAGCACATCTGTGAAAGTCTCACACGATGTTAATATTGTTAACAATCATTTCTGTATGTTGGGAACTGATGATATTAACTAGAAATTCTTGACACGACTCCTTTCTCGACATTTTTTGCTTGTATAGCCGATACAAGATGAGGTAGAGACTTGAACTTTGCTCCAAAGAAACGGAACTCTTTCTCTCCCGATTTGTGAAATAATACTTCTTTCTCATGACATCGAATGGTCGAATGATTAAGTCTCAACTAATCCATGCCTAAAAAAATCAACATCTTTCATCTCCAAAATGTATAAATCCGCCTGTAATATTTTCCCATCAATCTCTAACTTCATAGGCTTATTAATCTGATTTGTATAAATAGTTCTTCCTGAAGTGACGCTAATCTCTAATTCGTTATTCATTTTCACACATGCAAAGTTTGACCTAGCGACGAAGGATGTAAAGATAAAAGAATTTGTAGCTCCAGAATAAAAAAGTACGTAAGTAGGTGTATCAGATAATAACAAAATACATGTTTTCATAATTATAATGTTAGACTAGCGACTAAGGGCTAGAGATAAAACAATGTGTGGTCCTAGGTAAAAAAAAAAAAAAAAAAAAAAAAAAAAAAAAAAAAAAAAAAAAAAAAAAAAAAAAAAAAAAAAAAAAAAAAAAAAAAAAAAAAAAAAAAAAAAAAAAAAAAAAAAAATT